CTCCATGGTCCATTCCAACACTGTTGTTCTGTTAAGTCTGCAACCTCCTTGGCTTCTCATGCTTCGGTTGAAACCCAGGGACAGAAGAATTCCTCTTAGGGAATTCTTGTGTTGTTTTCAGATCAAGAAAGAGGGACAACCAGGAGTGATGGTACGTAGCCAGTTCAGTCTAGGAGTGTCACATTCTTTCTAAAATGTCTATCCCAGATAGAGATGGAGCAGTTCAACTTGATTGCATGGCCAACACTCAACTGCTCAAGGACCTCTGATGGTCACCATCCTGATCTGGAGTAAGAGGCAGGATCTGAGATAGCCCAGGGCACTGACCTAGCCCTGTTGTGTTGTGGCCCGCTGGCATCCAGTAGAGCTGGCAGCAGAGTCGGACAGTGAGGAGGTTGGGGAGGAGCATGAGCTAGTTCTGGAGGCTGGGGAAAGCTCGGCGAGGGCTTTGTGTCAGAGGCAGAGGGGGAGCTAGACAGCAGTGAGGCAGAGGAACAGCTGGAGCCTGTTCCCAGTTGTGCACATGCACAGAGCTGCCAGGAGACAAGAACAACTAAGAAAGCAGGGTCGACTTGGAAGTAAAGCCACACCTTGGAGATTGGCCTCTCCCAAACAAAAGAGGAGTGAATGCAGGAAACAATTCGTTCATTCGGTCGTTTGAAGAGTGGAAACTTCTGTTCGTGACTCTAAGAGACTCTGTGCCAAGTTTTGGAAACTTGCCCTGTGTTTGGAAACTAGTTATCTGGCAGCTTTCCAAGTGAGATAAGGTTTGTGTTGATAAACATTCCTCTGGAAGACTGTTTGCCAAGCCTTGCTGACTGCGAATGAAAGGAATTCACAGTCATGTAAATAAAAGGGGTTTGGCCAGGACCAAGTCTCTGCTTCATGCTTTTTAAGGAAGCCGAGGTCAGAATACAGTGCTGTTGTGGTGGCCTCCATGATGGTTGCCACCATCTTCCTGCTTCTCCTTGAGCAACTGCAATTGGAAGACTCAGCCTGAGTCTGTTTCTGGTCAGTAGGAAAAAACAGCTGGTGCTTCCTCTCTTTCTCCTCTGCTACCCCTAAGCCTCCAGCAGCTCCTTCAGCCATCTCCTCAACAGCCCTGCTTTACAATAGCTTGCATTATGATGAAATTCTGCAGTGTTAATCAAGCCAATCACGACTCGAATCATCGATTTGATTCAGCGAAGTGATCCGATTTGATTGACTGTTCATCTTAGGCATTCAAATTAAACCATCAAGTTGATTTCATTTGGATTCTGAATTGATTTTCAAAAAAAAAAAAAAATAGGCTGCTTTGGCCCACGGATAAAAAGTGGGCCAATCACTCCACTCAATCCAATTCAATCCAACACTTTAAACTGACTTTCTGATCTAGAGAATCGGAGCAGAACAGTGACGCAGCCAGGGGTGAAATCCAGCAGATTCTGACAGGTTCGGGAGAACCAGTAGCAGAAATTTTGAGTTTGGAGAATCGACAAATGCCACCTCTGGCTGGTTCCAGAGTGGGGTGGGAATGGAGATTTTGCAGTATCCTTCCCCTGCCACGCCCACCAAGCCATGCCCACAGAACCAGTACTAAAAAAAAAATTGGATTTCACCATTGGATGCAGCCCAATCACCTTTGAATCAAATCCCCAAACACCATACTTACACAGCCCTCCTTAAAACCCAGGGCTATAAAGCAAATCCTCAGTTTTATCTGTAAACACAAAAATAGCAGAGCAGATGGAATTCTAGAGAAGCTGACTTGGGGAAGAGGTTCTCCTTGACTCCATGGATGGCAGGAGAACGCCGGTGCGTGGCAATGCGTGCTAATTTAGGGTGTAACTCCTAAATCCTCTCCAGAGGTGGCCTAATGCCAAACCAGCAGTCGCAAAGCTGACTTTGGGGAAGTTGTGATGGGCGTGGAAGGGAAACTAAGGTTAAGATTCCCCATTCATACCCTTGAGCTGTCATGGCGAACCTGTGGCATGTGTGCCAGAAGTGGCATGCAGCGCCCTCTCCGATGGCACGCGAGCCGTCACGCCCGTTCAGCGCTGCACATTCGCATGCATCTCCCACTGGCCAGCTGGTCTTTGGGTCTCTGCTGCGCATTCGTGGAGGGTGGGGGGCATGCGTGGGGGCTGTGCACACATGAGCGGGAGGGCAGGGTGCATACGCAGGGGCTGCATGCGCATTGCATTTTGGGGGTTCTGGCGCGTGCACACGCTTTGGGTACTCAGTTTGGAAAAGATCAGCTATCACTGCCCTTGAGTGTCCTCTAAGTTATTCAACCATTAGTTACGTATTCAACTCTTATTGTAGCATGAAGACAGCAACAGCTGGATAATGCTAATTATTAGCGAGAAAATATCCATGGAGATTCTAAGTCACCCAGATCATGGTTGTCTCAAAAATGGGTTTTCCCCCCCCCAAAAGGCAACTGGACTATGTTTTTTCCTTGAAGAAGAAGACATTTCACTTCTTACCCAAGAAGCTTCATCAGTTCTAGTGAGAAAATGATCAGAGAGAACTCAAGGCCAACCATATGAGAGAAGGAAGCAACATCGACGTTTAGAGTGGAGATCTGGCATGTTATATTTTGACCAGTTCATTCCAACCTGCTTCCAAAAACTCTTCTTCCTTCTTCTTTTTCTTCACCAGATGATTAATAGCCACCAGATCCACATCAGAGGAAAATGATGGTTCCTTTAACAACTTGTGGCTTTTGAACATGGCTGACATCCTCATCAGTTGCATAACTATTGAGGATAAAATTACAAAGTCTTCCAAAGGGAACAGAGTCCAGCAACATCTGGTCTGTATATTTAGTAGGATTTTTTCTTTCTTTCTTGTAATTATAGTATTGCTTCATTTAGGAACAGTTTCAAAGTCTTTTTTTTTTTCCGAAGTGTATTTTGCAACAAACTTCAGTACAATATTATACAGAGTAAGGGTGTGCAATCCACTGAAAATTCATCCTTCAGTTGTCTTCTCCTTCTCCTTCTTCATCGTCACTGTCTTTTCCACCAACTGATAATGCACAGTTCTCTGTTCATTTTTCTAAGGGATGTAAGATTATTTAAAATCGATAAATAGGTGATAGACAGACAGGGAGACAGAAATATGAGTATGCATGCCAGCATATACCGTGTTTCCCCGAAAATAAGACCCTGTCTTATATTTTTTTGAACCCCGAAATAAACGTTTGGCCTTTTTTTCGGGGAGGTCTTATTATTTTGGGGCACCTGGAGCAAGATGGGGCTCCTCTTGCTGTCTTACCTGATTTCCAGATCTGCGTTTAAATATTTTCAGGGAGGCCTTATTTTTGGGGGGAGGCTTATTTTAGTGCATGCACTCAAAAGCCCGATTGGGCTTATTAGCAGGGGATGTCTTATTTTCGGGGAAACAGGGTATTATGCAACTAATCCCAATTTGTGGTTTTCAGTTTCTCAGCAATCAAGACTCATGGTGGTGAATAAGCACCCAGTAAAGTTCACTGAGGGCACACACATTTATGGAGTTTATTTCCTAAGTGTAACACTTTATCTGGCACACTTAAATGCATCTTCTGTACTTGCGAACTGGCTGTTACACCTTCCCTAATGTGTGCAGGATTTGAATATTCCAAACATTCTCATAAATGTACAAGCTTGAGGTGTTGCACGACAAAGCTTTTCACACAGGCTTGAAAATATGCTTTATGGAATAGAGAGACCTTGCATTTCTAAAGTCTTGGGTATCCGAAGGAAAGAAACTGGGAGCTTGGAGAAGTAACATATCAGTTGGAAAGTTCAAGGCAGAAGAAAAATATATTCGGTGAAAGTCTTTAATGAAAAGCCGGATTGACTTACAGTAGTGGTGAAATCCAAATGTTTTTACTACTGGTTCTGTGGCTTGGTGGGTGTGGCAGGGGAAGGATACTGAAAAATCTCCATTCCCACCGCACTCTGGGGCCAGCCAGAGGTGGTATTTGCCAGTTCTCCAAACTACTCAAAATTTCCGCTACCGGTTCTCCGAACTGCTCAGAATTTCCACTACCGGTTCTCCAGAACCTGTCAGAACCTGCTGGATTCCCCCCACCTGACTTACATGAAGGAAGAGAAGGAAGAACATGTTGGAAGGTCCATGGGTGACTTTCTTCCTCTTCTCTAGGACAATGAGACATTTCAGGAATGGGGACACAGAAAGTCTAATCTCAATTGTGTTTAATGTTATTGTCATAACAATACAGGTATCTAAAAAGATCCAGAACCAGGTGAGCATTTCAGAACATGATTCTGGATCCTTTTCCAATAGTCATCTGGAGAGTGAGTCCACCCACTCCAATTCTGAATTAAATCAAGATAGCTTAGCTACATGAATTTCACCCATGGAGGGGTTGATGAATGGGTGACACCAGATGGGTCTGCATGGAACATAAATAACTAAAGAATAAGGTTGGCTTGGAACACTGTGTGGTGTGCAGTCCTTTCTTTCTGGATTTGCCTTTCTGAGCAATCTCAGAATAAATACTGGCCCATCCCTTTACCTTGGGGAGTTTATTTCCAGAGGCTCTGCTTTCTCCTTATTTCCTGTTGGGTTGCTATCACCTACAAAAGGTAGAGATTCAATGGAGACATTCCAGATTTAGTCCAAAATCATAAGTCGAGGGTGCCATCTTCTGGAGAAGGTCTGTAATCCTACCACTAAACTTCATATTGTATATTCCTTGGTGTTGCCTGTACTTGCTGAACTACAGTTTCCAGGAGGCCAAGGCAACTTGGCCAATGGTGTGGGATGCTGGGAAATGTAGTCCAGCATCATCTTGTAGTTCAACTTTTTGGACCTGCAGATAACCCCAAGTTAAGATTCCTACTGAACTGAATTCCAACTGTATTGATGGCAGAGCTTCAAGGTGAAATAATTCAATCAAATCTCTGGATTACTGTAAATAATCAAATTACTTTCCCAAAACGGATAGCAGGATCCAAGGCCCAGGAGAACTTCTGCATCAAAGAAAGTGTACTGTGGACATATTGTCTATAAATTATTTTATTGTACTTTAAGCAACCACAGAAAAAGGACAATTCATCTCCCTTTTCTTCAGAAACCTTTTCCAAATATAAATCCATGGGGAAGAGTAAACCATAGATAAAAACACTTTCTTGAAAAAACATTATCAGGAGATTCCAGAAGGCGAGGAAGAAGTCAGGAAGGACTTGGCCAGTTTTTTCTGAAGGAGAACTTTGGTTCCATGGACTCAAAAAATAACCTGTAGCCCCAACTGAGCCACCATCCATCCACAACTTCTTAAAGCACACTCTCTCCTCACACTGCCCACCTGCTGGCTTGAACCTAGTGGATGAAGCTCTCCCAAGATGAGACCTTTGGCAGCTGAACCTCACTGAAGATCATCTGGTCTTCCAGTTGTGGTCCACGCTCACTCTTGGATGAGGCAAACCGTAGGTGTGCCATGGGAATATTCAGAGTGGCGAACACCCAGACTGAAGCATGGAGCTCTGGGCTTGTGAATGGTAACCTGTTCTGGGCTATAGTCCAGAGGGCCCGGAGTATGTTCCTTGCTTGAAGGAATTAACCTTTGAGATAGCGTATAGGATGGTTGATGTCGCAAGTAAACGTCTAGCTCTGGAATAGTGTAGGCGGCTGGACCAGGCCCTTTTCTCACCATATAATCTCGTCCGGGAGCAATGGATCTGATTGACGGGCAGGGAGCTGCCCTTTTATTGGGCACCTTGGGGCCCAGGGTCTCAGGCAACGCATATTTGTTGGGAGCCGGAGTTGGGTTGTTCAGCCAATAGGGCGTTCTTGCACCGATGGTATACGCGGGAGCATTCGGTTCATCAATGGGATGCAATTTCTCCACGGGATACTCATTCGGAGAAGGAGTTGTCACTATATCTAGGAAGGCCAGAGAATATCATTATTGGCAATGAGTCTAGCAGTATTAATCAGTGGAACAACTTGCCTCCAGAAGTTGTGGGTACTACAACATTGGAGGTTTTTAAGAAGAAATTGGACAACCATTTGTCTGAAATGGTGTAGCGTTTCCTGCCTAAGCAGGGGGTTGGACTAGAAGACCTCCAAGGTCCCTTCCAACTCTGTTATTCTACTCTAGTCTATATACAAAGTGGATTTATGCAAGGTTCTAAGCACCTCTAAAAACTAACACCAACTAAGCATACCATGTTGGGTAAATGCATCTGGTCAGTCATAGAATAGAATAGAATAGAATAGAATAGAATAGAATAGAATAGAATATTGATTGATTGATTGATTGATTGATTGATTGATTGATTGATTCAATTTATATGCCGCCCTTCTCCGGAGACTCAGGGCGGCTTACAATGCGTTAAGCAATAGCCTTCATACTTTTTGTATATATTCTATAGAGTAGAATAGAATAGAATAGAATAGAATAGAATAGAATAGAATAGAATAGAATAGAAATGTATAGAGTAGAATAAACTAGGAATAGAATAAAAGTTCTGTCACTTTAAATGTACACTAATCAGCATACATTAAAATGAAACTTCGTTGCGTTCAGCTCTCAAAAAAGGTCATCATTATGCATCTATCCACATACACGCACATATATGATATAGAAACATCACAGTCTAGTTCAAATTTATACATATACATGGGGTGGGAGCGGGGACAAATCTTGCGAATTTACAATTCAGAATTTACAATTCAGAATGTATAGGTTCTCCTGCTTGAGCAGGGGGTGAGACTAGAAGACCTCCAAGGTTCCTCCCAAATCCTGCCATCCCATTTAAAAGAACTAGCCTAGTTCCTGTAAAACATGTTGGTCTTCTTTCTGGAACTAGTAAGGAGACACCGTATCAAGGAGGCCAAAGAAAGTGCATATGTGATTCCCCATCTTGAATATGGTTGGGGGTCTTTTTCAGAACCCTTGGAAAATACCATATCAAGAACTTAAGTATCTTTTCGTCCCATTCATGGTTTCTAAGAGTGGCCACCAAGCTGCTTCCCTTTGACTGGGAAAAGCTTCATTTCATTCTCAGGAACCTTTTCGTCCCCATAGCTCCACCCCGTCCGCCAATCGTTCCAATGGAAGCACCTACAACTTGCAACTTACTTGTGCTCTTTCCTCGCTGTTGCATGAAGAATGACACCGGCCTCCATATCCCTAAGCGGGAAACGCTAGGATCCACATAGTAACAAGGTCCAGGGCTTTCCAGAACCATGATTGCTTGCGAAGGAAAGAAGAAGGGTCTCGTGAAGTCAAAACTGGCTTTCTGGATTACGTCATGTGGTTGGGTTTTTTTTTAATTGTTTTTTTTATTATTATTATTTGATTTATATGCCGCCCTTCTCCGGAGACTCAGGGCAGCTTACAGTGCGTTAAGCAATAGCCTTTTGTATATTTTATACAAAGTCATCTTATTGCCCCCACAAACTGGGTCCTCAATTTACCTACCTTAGAAAGGATGGAAGGCTGAGTCAACCTTGAGCCTGGCGAGATTCGAACTTACTTTAATTGCAGACAGCTGGTGTTAAATCACAGTGCTTAGTCTGCAGAGCTATCCAGGCTCTAATGGATAGAGGTTCCAGGTTCTAATGACCATCCATTTATCTAGCTACCAAAATGCTTGAGGTGGCAAGAAGGGCCATTTCCCAAATAAACTGGTCACCGTCTTTCAGGAGGTAATTAACTTCTAGCTGAGCTACCGGTCCTAAAATTGCCGATTCAGGAAACGAATGAATCAAAACGGGCCTTTATGAGTCCTCTGCTCAGGAAGGGAAACCACTCAGTCCACTAAATTCCCAGCAGGTGGCCGTCCAACCTTTTTATCAACTTCTAGGGAGGAGAATCCAGCATTCTTCCAGCCCTTTAGAGAGTCTGCTGTAACAAACTCTCAGCTGGACTTTTATTTTTGCAACGGCTTCGGGAAAATAGCCGTTGCTAAGTCATCCAAAGATATGGAACACATCGCTTTAATATTATACCATCTTAGCTTCTTACTCGGTTGCCAAGCCCAAACTCAAAGTTTTGATGGAATGAATATGGACTGCTTTCACACACATATGTGTGAATATATATGTATATGTATATACGTACTTCACTTTTGTTGCCAGCAGTTTAGACATTAATGGCTGGGTGTTAAGTTATTTTGAGGGGACAGCACATTTACAGTGTTATACAAGCTGTATACTCACTACTTTACATTGTAGCCAAGTGTATATATATATGCAGCCCAAGTTCGAATCCAGGTAGGGGTATGGCTAGCTGATGAGAGCTAAATAGCTTGAAATTGATCTATACTAGTCTCTTTATTTCTTTATCAGCGAAATATAAATTTGGTATATCTATATATCTATATCTATATCTATCTATCTATCTATCTATCTATCTATCTATCTATCTATCTATCCAGGAACTGCAGGTCCTGTCAACCCATAGCATTAGTCAAGCTAAGAATTGTTGATGAGAACTAAAGTTCAACAGGTAGAGAAGTCACAGACTGATCATCCTTACTTTAGATCAGAGGTCTCCAAACCTGACAACTTTAAGACAGGTTGGCTAAGGAATTATGGAGTTGAAGTCTGTAAGTCTTAATGTTGCAAAGTTTGGAGACCCCTGATTTAAATTAACTCAGAAATTTTTCTCCAGGTTTTCAGCCATAATACAAGAGTTGCTTATGAATCAGGCCACTTCAATCACAACCTCATTACATTGAGAATGTCTTCTGAAGAAGCCCCAACAGAGTCCTCTACCGTGTCCTTAAGACCTCATTTTCTCTAAAGCGTTGAAAAAGGTCATTTAGAACAGTGAATTGTGTCATTGAGCTGATTTGATTCAGGATTAGCTGAAGATTCTGTTGGAAATACACAGGATAGGAAGGTTTTAACATAGTTTGTTTGCTTCCGGACTCGGTCTTCTAAACCCCCAAAGTTCTACTTTGATTTTTGCTATGAAGGTGAGAATAACAGAATTTAGCTTTTATCCTTCCTGGGCCATTACTCCTGTTCAGACTTTTTTAAAAAGGAACAGAGGAGTTTTGATCATAAATCTCCTGAGTTCTGTTCATTTTGGACCTGAAAACATGGGTAGGTCTCAGGGATACAAATTGCGCAATACAGGTTTCTGGGTATGGTGATTAGAACACATGCATTCGTGATTAGCATGTATCCATAAGAGTCCTTGATGAGTTTCTTCAGGATCCAGAATCCCTTTCCCCGCTTACTTTTTGGGCTGGACTTCACACGCATGGTATAAGCTGGCTCAGCATACTTAGTGCAGTCGTGATTCTTAATGCCAGTACAAGGACATCGGTTATACTTCCCAGGTCCTGGACCTGAAATGGGATCAAAACCAACATGGACTTACAAGTAGAGAACCAGAGGAAGCTTCCCTTAGAAATGCAACAGGACAGGTGGAGTAACACTCAAAGTCTTGCCAGAAAAGCAACAGGACTTCGTCTGGCCATTCTTTCTTGGGAGCATTAATCATCTGGACATCCAAGTACTCTAGTGAACATTTCCCTTTTCCTGCAAGCTCAATTTTGGCAAGATTACTAGGCAATATGTACCTCGTTGGGTCATCGTTTTGGAGGTATTTCCTTACCTAAACAAAGAAACAGAATGACCAAAGACGGGCCAAAAAACCCAGGAATGACTTCCCGCTGGCTTCCCCATTGAGTTTCCTTGTGAAAATCTGGCAGGAAGCATTGTCAATCTCCCCTTCCCCTTCCCCTTCCCCTTCTCTTTCCTCTTCCCCTTCCCCTTCCCTTCTCCTTCCTTCCTTCCTTTCTCTATATTTCTTTCTCTCTCCCACTTCTCCCTTCCCCTTCCTTTCTTTCTCTATATTTCTTTCTCTCTCCCACTTCTCCCTTCCCTTCCTTCCTTCCTTTCTCTATATTTCTTTCTCTCTCCCACTTCTCTCTTCCCCTTCCTTCCTTCCTTCCCTCCTTCCTTCCTTCCTTCCTTCCTTTCTCTCTGTTTCTTTCTCTTTCCCACTTGTCCCTTCCCTTCCTTCTTCCCTTCCCTTCCCACCAGACAGGTAAGTGACTGTTGCTGGATGGGGCAGGAAGTGAGGGATTGCATGAGTGGCTGGGAAATTGTCCCAAAATGTTGTAAATGAAGATCACACGACCACAGCAGCAGCAGCCAGCAGCATTGAAACAGCCACAACTTCCCCAAGTGTCCTTCCCTTAGGAGTCATGGGTCCCGGATTGTGGCTGGATTCTGTAAATTAGCCCCATCTGAGGTATCTTGATTCAAAATTTGTTGCCCTATGATGCACTGTTTTTCCCCAATTAAAAGTCACCACAAAAGTCACCACAAAAATCTTCTATTACTCTGTTCCAGAAGGTGATAACTCCTTTCCTTTTCCTGTTCTATGTTTTCTAGTAGTCTCACCCCATAATTCTGAGCTGGGCAGATGAGGTGAATGGACAAATAAAGCAGTGGGCGAGACTGGATCCAATGGCTGAAGGCTGATAATTCTCTATTTGTGGAAGCATCAAGAAGAATAAAAATAGAGTAGAGTAGAGTAGAGTAGAGTAGAGTAGAGTAGAGTAGAGTAGAGTAGAGTAGAGTAGAGTAAGAAATAATAGAAATGGAATAGAAATAAATAGAAAGAATAGGAATAGGAATAGGAATAGGAATAGGAATAGGAATGGAATGGAATAGAATAGAATAGAATAGAATGTAGAATAGAATAGAATAGAATAGAATAGAATAGAATAGAATAGAATAGAATAGAATAGAATAGAATAGAATAGAATAGAATAGAATAGAATACTTTATTGTTACTTTGAATGTACACTAATTGGCATACATTAAAATGCAATGACATTGCATACGTGCAGCTCTCAAAGGGTCTCCACCTCTAATATAAACATAAACGCGATAAGAAGCGAAGAGACCCTCCTTTCCTGATCATTGGAAATACTCTTTGTATCTGGGCATCGTTCCTTTCCCCCTGGCACCCAACTCACCTTTATATTTGGCACTGATTAAGGCGTACTTTTTCTGGCTTACTGGTGCTCTGGCTGGATTTGGAGAGGAACCGGGTTTGATGAAGTAAGAAACTTTCTCAGCGGGTTTTTTCAGTGCAGAGGCTGCCATTGGAATAACAATGCTATGCTCTGTGAGGAGGAATGCACCACTAAGTTCCCTATGCATAAAATAAAATTGAAATGACTTCAGTAAAGGCAGATCTGGAACCCCAGGAGCTGGGATCAGGGCCGAAGGGATCAACAAAGGCAAGATTGCACCCACAGGGCTCTTTGATCAAATCTCCACCCAACCCAAAAGGGTAGGGCTTCCTTAACCATGCTCTTGACTCCCCCTCCTCCAAGTAATTGCTTTAGTTCATTACAAGATGCAAATCTTTCATTATAAGCTACAGATACGAGTGCTGGGCGCAGTGGTATCAGCCAGTAATTGTTTAGACTAGGGAAGTTTAAATACATTGAAGATAAGTTCAGATAACTGGATGATAAATTTAGATAAGAAGAAGGAGGTTACATCAGTGTTGAGTATAATTTCAAATATGTGAATATACATGGTGGGGGAAAGGAAAGGAAGGGAAGAAGGAAAAGAAGGGGAGAGGAGGGAGGGAAGGGAGGGAAAGAAGGGAAGGGAAGGAAGGGAAAAGAAGGAAGGGAAGGAAGAAGGAAGAGAAGGAAAGGAAAGGAAAGGAAAGGAAGGAAAGGAAAGGAAAGGAAAGGAAAGGAAGGAAAAGGAGGGAGGAGGAAGAAGGAGGAAGGAAGGAAGGAAGGAAGGAAGGAAGGAAGGAAGGAAGGAAGGAAGGAAGGAAGGAAGGAAGGAGGTGGAGGAGGGAGGGAGGGAGGGAGGAGGAGTTTGGAAAAGTAGGTATTTGACTTCTCCCTTTTTTATTCTCCAACCAATTTGTACTTTAAGTATTGTATATATGTTTCACGGATGTTCTTCACTGTTCTGTCCATCCTGCAGATGTCCCAGCTCCTAGTAGCCTAAGACAAACCCACCGCATCCTCTCTCTCTCTCCCTCCCTCTCTCTCTCTCTCTCTCTCTCAAAAAAAAGCCATTAACAGAAGCTAAAGCCCGGATGACAACAACCCATAAGAGATGAAGGAAGAAAAAGATGGAGGGGATCAAGGCGAAGTAAAAACATGGCCAGATGAAAGCAGCCATCATGGCCATCCAAGAGACAGCTCTGACAGGAATCCAGAGGGATATTTCTCACTTGGGAACATCAAACATCCTCCTGCCTCGGATCACAAGAGTCCACTCAGAATTCAACAATGGAAATTGTTGCCGTCACAGGAGCTGACAGATCCCCAAACAGGTGGATGCAAGTATTTTTTTAAAAAATCAGTCTTCTGGTCCTCTTCTTTTCAGAAAGAATGGACGGAGGGAGAAAGGGAGGAAGGGGAGAGGAAAAAGGGGGGGAGAGAGAGGGAGAAGGGAAGGGAAAGGAAGGAAGGAAGGAAGGAAGGAAGGAAGGAAGGAAGGAAGGAAGGAAGGAAGGAAGGAAGGAGAGGTAGAGAGAGGGGGGAAGGAGAGGGAGAGGGAGTGGGAGAGGGAGGAGAGAGGGGAAGGAAGGAAGGAAGGAAGGAAGGAAAGGAAGGAAGGAAGAGAGGGGACGGGAGGGGAAGGGAGAGGGAGAGGGGAAGGAAGGAAGGAGAGGGAGAGAGAGAGGAAGGAAGGAAGGAAGGAAGGAAGGAAGGAAGGAAGGAAGGAAGGAAAGAAAGAAGAAGGAAGGAAGGAGAGAAGGAGAGGGAGAGGGAGAAAGAGAGAGGGAAAGGGAAAGGAAGGGAAAGAAGGAAGAAAGGAGAGGAGAGGGGAAGGAAGGAAGGAAGGAAGGAAGGAAGGAAGGAAGGAAGGAAGGAAGGAAGGAAGGAAGGGACAGTGCCAAATATAAAAAGTGGACATTTATTTTTATCTTGACAACCCAGTGAGCAAAGAACCCCTTCCAAGCCATCTTGACCTACCCAACCTTGACAGATCTCCGAAAATTCAACCGGCTTGAAGCTGGCCAAGGATGGGTAGAGAGATCCCCGGGAAACCCAACAGACCTTGTGGCTTGCGCTATGGAAGAAGCCAGATGGTTCTTGTCCTTAATGGGGAATGAACCTGGGGTGGTTCTTAGGACAACCAATTAAAATCCCCGCTCTTTGCTTCAAGAGTGTTACTCCGCTGTGGCAGCTTTTCGGCTTAGCTGGGAGGTGAAGCAGGCGGTCGATTGGAAAGAAATCACTTCTGAAGCATCTTTCCGGCCCCTTCCCCTGGACCCACACGCCCACCAGCTGCCTGGTGGAACATCAACAGTTCCTCCTCTCCACATTGGCTGCCGGGTTGCTAAGGCAACAGCGATGCAGGCTGGAAGGCTGACTTGTTTATTTTCATTTTGCTATGGTTCTGGCAGAATACGGCCAAAACTGGCCTGCATCGGAGGCTCCTGGCTGGGCTTCCTCCTTGCAATGAACAAGAGCTCTGGAGGCTTCATCTTGGGGGCAAACCTGGTCCTTGAATAGCCCCAGTTATTTTCATTCCTTCCAAAAGAGGTTTCTCTCTCTCTCTCTTTAGTCTTCTTCTTGAAGCGCTCTAGATGTTCATCCAGATGTTGGGTGGCATGGCTTAGATCTTCTTTTATTGAAATGAGAGAGGCGGCCTGGAGTTTGGTTTCTGCAATATTCCAAGAGGAACAGACAGAGGTCAAGGCAAGCAAGCCACACAAGAAAGCTTAACATTGCCGGATCCAATCCAGGTCGGTCACCGAGACCAGAGGTTTAATCTTCCGAGTTTTCAGTGTCGTACTGGAGTTCATCCTCAGAGAACATCCGTCAGATTGGACCAGGGGTGAAATTTATTTACCTTCGCTACCAGTTCGCAAATGTGAGCGTGCCCGCCTCCTCCTTCTGTGCATGCGTAGAGGGTAAAAAACCAGATGTGATTACACCCAGGCGGGTGGGCAGAGCCTCCCACCATTGGTGCTACCGGTTTGCCTGTGCCGGATAGAACCGGCTGAATTTCATCACTGGATTAACCCCTGATTGGATCCTGCAACATTATCCTGGGACACGTATATTTGTCTTCATTTAGAAATAGAAATAGAATAACAGAGTTGGAAGGGACCTTGGAGGTCTTCCAGTCCAACCCCCTGCCTAGGCAGGAAACCCTACACCACTTCAGACAAATGGTTATCCAACCTCTTCTTAAAAACTTCCAGTGTTGGAGCATTCACAACTTCTGGAGGCAAGTTCTTCCACTGATTAATTGTTCTCACTGTCAGGAAATTTCTCCTTAGTTCTAGGTTGCTTCTCTCCTTGATTAGTTTCCACCCATTGCTTCTTCTCCTGCCTTCAGGTGCATCATCATTTGTGATGCTTAATATCGTTTACAGCAGATGGTGGCGATCACAAGGAACCAATCCTTGCTATGAGATATGTGACTATCAGGTATCTTGACTGAAGGCACGTCCCATCAAAGCAGGAAATGGACATTCCAGGAAGCAAACATCACATGGAGACCCCAAGATGGACTCTGAAGCCCCGTTGTGGTGGACAATTTTTGCTTGAAGGCTTAGTAACCAGAAAACTGCACACCTTGAGAACATTTCCAACAGCGATGGATCGGCGCGGTTTAAATATCCACTGCATCTTTGCAATAATAGCTCTGCCTTACTGTGAAAACAGGAAGGGCAAAGAAATTGAGAGAGAGGGAGGGAGGGAGAGAGAGAAAGAGAAAGAGAGGGAGAGGGAGGAATAAATAGACAAACAAAGACAGGGGGGAAAAGAGAGAGAGAGAGGCAGAGAAACAGAGAGAGGGGGAAAGAGACAGAAAGAGAGAGACAAACAGACAGAGAAAGGCAGACAAAGACAGAGAGAAGGGAAGAGAGGGAAAGAGAGAGAGAGAAAGACAGGAAGAGACAGAGAGAGACAAAGACAGAGAGAGAGTGGGGGGGAGAGAGAGAGAGAGAGAGAGAGAGAGAGAGAAATAGGCAGACAGACAAAGACAGAGAGAGGGAGAAGAGAGGGAAAGAGAGAGAGAGAGAAAGATAGAGACAGAGGGGGAGAGAAAGACAGAGAGAGGGGAAAAGAGAAAGAGAGAGAGAGAAATAGGCAGACAGACAAAGACAGCGAGAGGGGGAAGAGGGGGAAAGAGAGAGAGAGAAAGACAGAAAGAGACAAAGACAAAGAGACAAAGACAAAGAGACAGACAGAGAGAGAGAGAGAGAGAGAGAGAGAGAGAGAGAGGCAGAGAAAAACAGAGAGAGACAGAGAGATTAAAGTTAGAAGAAACCATTCCAGAGGAAGGGGGCCCATAAAATTATTTATTTGTTTGTTCATCAAATGTTGGTACGTCCATCTCTGTTGGACCATCCTGGGTGCTCCAGCTCTGCAGACGACCCACTGGGAGTATTTTTAAATGGCAGGCGTTCCGTGCTGCCTTGTGGGACGCCAGGGGCGAGATATAATTTTCTTATTGGCTCTTCAAAAGGCTCTTAAAACATGACATCCTGGGCAGAGCTTGTTTTAACCGGGGGAGCGGCTTCAATTCATTTTTCATATTCATGGATTTCACCTTGGCTTTATAGCCTTATCGTAAACTGCCTAGAAAGGTTGATAGCTGCGGTAGATAGGAAATTCATCGTTATCCCTGTCTTGGGGAGAGATTCGCAGAAGTGATCACGCTTCTTCCCTTTTTTACGACTTGGGTGGGCGATGCACCATCCAAAAACAACAACCATGAGAGCCATTGCAATTCGGTGGGAATTTTTTTTTTTTAGGCCGGGTGTTCAGGATTCAAAAAGAAGCACATCATTGCTCCTTGGATGGATGGGGGTGGAATTGTTGACATCCGACTCCTTTGCAAATTTACTCATCGGGTTTGAGACCGTTCCGGGCCAATCCAATCCATTTATTTATTCCTCCTTGATGCAAAAGACATTATCCTAACAATGATGTCGTTTTGACCACACATAAGGAAAACGGCTGTGTGTGTGTTTGGATGGACAATGTTGAGTGGCCAATAAATATAAAAATAATTTAATGGAGGATAAAGGGTCGGGAGGCTAAATCATATGTTTAACGATTGAAAGGACTAGGTATGTCTAGCCCAGTGATAGCTAACCTTTTCCGGACCAAATGCCCAAAGCACGTGCAGATGTCTGTGTCAAGTTTCCAAAAGATGCCCTAATTAATTCATGAGCCATGATCCAAACTTCAAAGGAAATATATTCATTTATTAGGAGCAACATTCCGGCAATACTTGGATGCAGTTAGGACTGATCCTACGTAGATTTACGTTCCCCTATGACCCTGTCTCTCCCCTCCTCTCTGGCCATGTCATAAATCACATTCTCCATTTAACCACTTTGGCTGGCTGTGAAACCTAACACCCTCCTTCTGATTGCGGTCAGAAAGAATGTATGGAATGCACTTCAGTTCTCCCTCCCTTCTGCTCATGGCAACTTGAAAGCTTTGCAAGTTGACAGTGTGTGTGTGCACCCAACCCCCCCAAAATGGACCGTGTGTGCAGCCCCCGTGCATGCACCCCATCCCCGCGCATGCATGCATGGCCCCCGCATGCGCCCTATGCATGCACGCACAGCCATCCTGGATGTCCCCCGCCCCCTGTGCATGCACAGCAAAGACGCAAAGGCCATTGGCTGGTGGGAGGCATGCGCATGCATGGCGGAGCTGAACTGGGGCGATGGCTCACATGCCCACAGAGAGGGCGCTGCATGCCATTCTGGCACGCATGCCATAGGTTCGCCATCACGGATCTAGCCTATCGAAGAGAAGGATGAGAGGTGACATGATAGCCATCTGCCAATACTTGAAGGGCAGTCAAAGGGAAGAGGGGGTCAACTTATTCTCCAAAGCCCCTGAGGACAGAACAAGAAGCATCCAGTGGAAGCTTCTTAAAGAGAGATCCAGCCTAGAACTAAGGAGAAAATTTCCTGATGGTGAAAACAATCAATCATTGGAGTAGCTTTCCTCCTGGAGGTTGTGGGTGTTTCCTCACTGGAGGTTTTGAAGAAGAGACTGGACAACTATTTGACTGGGGATGGTATGAGGCTCCTACTCTGAGCAGGAGGTTGGACTAGAAGATGTCTGAGGTCCCCTCCAGCCCCATGATTCTATGTTTGGGGTGATTCTTCCAGTGTTCCTCGGCTGCACATCCATGGGGCATTTAGCAAAGTGCCTCTGACCTTCATCTCTTGAAGTAGGATTCAAAAGTCCTACCTTACAGACCATGGAGAATATTTAATCTGCTCGCCTTTTTTGAGTCAGTCTACTGGTGGGGTGATATCAGCTGCCCTGAACTCCTGGAGAAAGAAAAGAATCAAAATCTGTCAAAATAATAGTTTTTGAAGCGTACATCTCCATCGCCTAAAAGCATGGTTTGCTAGTCTGCTTGGAAGTGCGGAAAAAGTGGGGTGACTCACACCAGCATCTGCTTTTGTGGGCACCAGGGTGGGGAGGAAGATACCTGAATGATCCTGCGTGAACTACATGGTTTTGGAGAGGAGAAGAACTTGGCAAGGGCCGATCAGTGGCTGAAGAAATCCAGAGCAGTTGGCGACAAAGGTTCTTCCCTCCCAAACAATGAGAAAAAAAAGATGATAGCATCTCTGAACTTCTCAAAGGAAGAATGCCAAAGAACTACAGTCTGTCGCAACCATAATAGGGATGTTTGGTTTATAGGCAAATGGCCAACATCTCATCCTTGGATGGAGGACACTGAAGGATGTTGAAGGCATAGCTGTCCACTGCACAGGAAGTCAAGCCCCCCTCAATGGCCTGGCTGGATCCCTCACAGTTGACTCTTCCCCCTACGTGTGGATCCAGATGTTGAGCTGGAAAGGAAGAAAAGCCAACAGCTGCAGAGAAACGAAACGTTTCTACCGAGAGCAGTCTTGGCTGGAATTTTTTTTACAGATGGCTGCAGCTCCCCTAGACCTTTCTGATGTTGAAGGAACCAGGGAGAGGGAAGGGAACATTGTTATGAAATGAAGATCCCTATATAATTTATTTATTAAATTTGTTTGCTGCCCATCTC